CTTATTTCTTATCTTTCAACAACAGTCCACTGTTTGGTACAGCTGTATCTATTTTCCATAAAGAAGGATTCACATGCATATTAACAAGTTAAAAAATAAGGCAATAGTCATTCACCATAATTATATGCCGTTAATTTATCTAGCCATTCTTTGTCCTATGCACAATTAAAAAAGAAAATTATAACAAACACAAAAACAATTATTGATTTACAAATCTGGGCACTTTTTTAAAAATAAAACTTTCCTTTATTTTCCCATTCGCAGAATAATCCATACCACCCTACAGCATATGAAACTTTTAAATTAAGAGTTCCCACTAATGTCCTTGTTCAACTAGAGTACCTCCTATAAATCAAGTAACAAACCATGAAAATATCCCATATCCATAAAACAAACCACTTACCTCTCTCCTCCTGTGCACAGCTGGACAATGCATTTGTAACTCTGAACAAGGGCAATCAAGAGAGAAATACTGGCCCAGCTGATATTATAGTCGCAGAAGGCTTGGGAGCCCCAGCTAACTTCCAGCTGCCCATCGGTCTCACTCCAATTCCCTCTGCTGAACAACAAGCAATGTCCTCTGGAAGGAAGGAGAAAAATTGGCATCATACTATTTATGGAGAGGGACACCAACAAGCTATTCAGTGAAACACAAGGGTTGTAGAATGAGAAGATAAGAAAAATGATATCTGTTTGTTTGTTATTATCATTATAATTACTTCTCTAATAAAATAGAGCCTCTATATATTTCTATGAGAGAGAGAGAGAGAGAGAGAGAGAGAGAGAGAGAGAGAGAGAGAGAGAGAGAGAGAGAGAGAGAGAGAGAGAGAGAGAGAGAGAGAGAAAGAGAGAGAGAGAGAGAGAGAGAGAGAGAGAGAGAGAGAGAGAGAGAGAGAGAGAGAGAGAGAGAGAGAGAGAGAGAGAGAGAGAGAGAGAGAGAGGGGGGGGGGGGGCAGAGACAAATACAAAGAGAAAGAGACACACACACACAGAGAGAGAGAGAGAGAGAGAGAGAGAGAGAGAGAGAGAGAGAGAGAGAGAGAGAGAGAGAGAGAGAGAGAGAGAGAGAGAGAGAGAGAGAAAATACACGTTTGTGTGTGTGCATGGGAGTGTATGTATGAGTGTATGTGTGTATAGTGGAGAGTGGTTGCCAGCATGTAAATGTGCTTACACATGTATGTGACAAGCAAAAATCATTATCTGTTCCAACTAATCCTATATAATTTTCCTGTGTTGCATATAAACTATGGCACTGCATGGAAAATGACCTCATTCTTAACCTTACACATGAATGCCTAGGTGATAAAAGGAAGAGAAGTATTTCAAAGTCAAAGCATCATTGATCCACTTTCCAAGCTGATATCTTTAAAACAATACTCTGACCTTTACACAGGTAGTACAATAAGATCATTATCAATGGTACAGTTAGTTACATAAG